CCTGCTTTTCTGGTGTGACGGGGTGTTCAGGGCTTTCTGTGGTGGGAGAATTGGGTTCTGATGATGCCAAGTAAGTTTGGTTTCTGTTTCTTATGTTCTTGTGCTTGCCTTTTGCCATCTGATTAACTCTAGTGTTACCTGAACTCACTGTGTCTCACTGGAGTCTGTAGTCCAATTATCTTGCTTGTGTCAGAGCTCCTCAGAGTCCAAATGTCTCTGTGGTTTTATCATCCTAATCTCCTGGGTGGAAGAACTCCTGGGATTCAGGCCAACTCTGGGATATGGAAAGCCTTCTGCTCTGGGTGCAGTGGTTCCTCTCGGATGGCTCAGGATATGATGTCTCCACAAGTGCAAACCAGCTAGGTGTCTGCTGCTCTGAATGCAGAGGCTCCTCTGCTGCTCTGAGTGCAGTGGCTCCTCTAGGATAGCTCAGGATTTAGTATCTCCACAGGGGCAGGCCAGTTATGTGTCTGCCCCAACCTAAAGGACCAGGCAGGGACCAAAGGGAAGTGGAATTCCGGAGGGGTGGGGGTGGGGGTTGGGTGGCTGGTGGGTGCTGAGTGTCCCTGTTATGACTCTGGGGTGTAGGGAATGAGACAGGGTTCTTACCTGCTCCTCTGAGTGCAGTCACTCCTCTTGGATGGTTCACGATTCAGTATCTCCACAGGGGCAGAGCAGCTATATCTATATTAACTTTTCTTGTTTCTCACAATTCTGACAAAATGCTCCTCCACTAGACATACTTTTTCAATTTTTATTTTTGCCTTGAAAAGCATTTAATTCCTTACTAGTTTCACAGAAAACATTTTGACCATATTCACCCAAACCACTCCATCCTCTTATATCCTCTTACCAAAGAAACTTGTTTCGTTTATTTTTTCCAGTCAAGTACACTTTGTGTTCTATAAGTTCTATTGTCACTGGAATCTTGTTTTGAGTATGATTGACCTATGGGTCACAGCAGTGAAGAAATTGACTATCTCTCACTTTGTAACTATCAAATCTCAATAATGTCTTGGCTCAGGATGACATTTCATGCCTATATGCTCCATTTTGGTATTTTGTCTTGTTTGAGCACACATGGTCTTGTACATGCTTTCATAATCATGCAGGGTCCAAATGTATAACTCTTGTGGACTGATAATATTATTTCCTTGAGATTATCCACAGCCTCTGGTCTTTACAATCTTCCCACTTCTTTCCTGCCATGATCTCTCAGGCTTGTTGGTTGGGGTATGATGTCTAACCCACATTTATGGATTAGCAACATATTGTCTATTCTTATCTATACCAAGATCTATACCATGTAGTATTTGTCATTTACTCTAAAAAGAATCTATGTGGAAGACTGATGGATGCACTAATCAATGGTAGGTCCATCAATAAAGCATTTGTGGTTGATTTTGTATGATAGCATAGTAAGATTATTAAACTATCCCTGTGGGTCTATGAATTAGCTTATCACAGAGTCTTGCCATCTTCGTAGTGTAATACATGTTTTCTATTTTATAAAATGTATCTTATATTAAATCAGACAAAAGGTAGCTCCACATGTAACATGTGTACCATTTTATTACCAGATGGCATATCAGATAAACCTAGTTATTACTGTATCCCTCATGGTTCACAGCTGAGTGAGAATTATGATTATTTTTTTTCCTTGGTAGCAAGCATAGCATCTTACAGTACTATGAATTCTAGCCAGAATAAACAAAGTAAGTGATTAACTGCATGATTTCTCCAAATTTGTGGTGTAAGTTTGTAGGGCCCTCAGCAATGGAGTCTTTCCATCAAGTTCTACTGGATCCAATCTTGGGGCTTCCTGGTATATATTCTAAAGTGTAAGAAAGATGTATGATGTTCAATTTTCTTAATGTGACTCAAAATGGCTATTCTAATTGTATAGATGTTCATTGAGAAGAACAGATTTAAGTTTGGTTCATTTTGGTTTCTATTGTTTTTGATTTGAGAATTCTTTTTTTTAGTATTCTTTAATCCTTTTTTACAGTCCAGTCCTCATCCCCACGCAGTCTGCCACCTGACCACTTCCTATCCTATACCTCCCCCTCCAATTGTCTTCAAGAGAATGTCTCCACAAACACACCACCCCACCAGACCTCCCCAATCAATCCCTGGGTCCTCAAGTCTTTCAAGGGTTAGTGCATCTTCTCTCACTGAATCAAGACCAGCCATTCTTCTGCTCTATATGTGTTGGGAGACTTATATCAGCAGTGTATGCTGCCTGTTTGGTGGATCTGTTTCTGAGACATCTTAGGGATCCAGGTTTGTTGAGACAGCTGGTCCTCCCATGGTTCCACTCTTCTCCTCTGCTTCCTTCATATTTTTTTTACTTCCTCCAAATTTTTTTACTTAAATTATTTTCATAGACACTCTTTGCATTCTTATTTTTGTCACTCTAGTCTCTCCTGCTCTTTATGAGTTCTGTGATTGCCATGATTTCATCCAAATAAATACAAGTGCATCTAAACATATTTGTTTTAAGTTATGATATACATGAAATCTTTTGTTTTATTTTGTTTGATGTTACTAGAAAAATCCACTTGTATTAAAAGAAATTCACCTCAGGGAATGGAATTTATAAATTTCATCAGCTTCTAAGAAAAGGAGTATAGAGGAGGAAGGAACAAAGACAATATTCTTTGTGCTATCATGCATCATGCATATCAGATATGTGGCATATCAGAAGCAACATAAATGTAAAAAAAAAACAAGTTTTAGAAAAGGAGTGGAGAAGAACAAATTATCAGAGATACAAACATTCATTGAAACAGAAAAGGAAAAGGACAAAAACAAAAATTAAATAAAAAGTGACTAAAATGCCAGAATTCTGCAGAAAACCTCTACATCTAAGATGCCCCATTCATTTTCATTTAAGTACATTAGGTGGTGAAAATATACTCATGGCTGGGGCATTCACCTAGCTGATCTGCTCCTGTGGAGACAGCCATCCTAGAGGAGCCTCTGCTCTCAGAGCAGTGGGTAAGAACCCCCTCCCACTCCCTACACCCTGGAGTTACAACTGGGATCCAGGGGCACTCAGGACCATCTGCCACCCAAAACCCACCCCTCTGGAATACCACTTCCTTACTGCCCCTCACCTGGTCCTTTTGGCTGGGGTAGACACCTAGCTGGTCTGCTCCTGTGGAGACACTGTATCCTGAGCCATCCAAAAGGAGTCACTGCACTCAGAGCAGCAGGATTTCAGGATCCCAGAGATTAAACCAGAAAAGAAATACCTCCCGTCACATAATAATCAAAACAACAAATGCACAAAACAAAGAAAGAATACTAAGAGCAGTAAGGGAAAAAGACCAAGTAACATATAAAGGCAGACCTATAAGAATTACACGAGACTTCTCACCAGAGACTATGCAAGCCTGAAGAGCCTGGACTGACATCATACAGACCCTAAGAGAACACAAATGCCAGTCCAGACTACTATACCTAGCAAAACTCTCAATCACTATAGATGGAGAAACCAAGATATTCCATGTCAAAACCAAATTTGCACAATATCTTCCCACAAATCCAGCTCTTCAAAGGATAGTTGATGGAAAAATGCCAACACAAAGAAGGAAACTACAACCTAGAAAATTCGAGGAAGTAACCTTTCAAAAACCCCAAAAGAAGATAACTACACAAACATACTTCTACCTCTAGTAATAAAAATAACAGGAAGCCACAATCATTTTTCCTTAATATCTCTTAACATCAATGGACTCAATTCTCCAATAAAAAGACGCAGACTGGATACACAAACAGGATCCAGAATTTTGCTGCATACAGGAAACATAGTTCAGTGACAAAGACAGACACTACCTCAGAGTAAAAGTATGGAAAACAATTTTCCAATCAAATAGTCCCAGGAAACAAGCATGAGTAGCCATTCTAATATCAAATAAAATCAACTTTCAACCAAAAGTAATCAAAAAAGATAACAAATGTACTCTTATATTCTGATGATCATATGGAAGATACAATAGGAAGAGGTGAATCCCTGCAAGCTTGCTGGTTAGAGCGCCAGGCTTATGTGCTGAAAACAATAAAGGAACTGTGAAGTCAATTGGAATAATACTCTCCCTTTTCCGCAGCACTGGGGAAGGAGAGGTAGAATGTCTTCACGATTTTGAGGTCAAATTTGTTTACAGAGTGTGTTCCAGGACAGCCAAGTCTACATGGTCAGACTCTGTCTCAATCAATCACATAAGTGAGTCAGTGAGTCAATAATTAAACAAATGATTTTAAAAAACCCGGATGAAATCTTGTGGACAGCTGGGACTGACCCTGGATGTCCTTCTCTGCCTTGCACTCATAGATCATGAAAATGTACCTGCACAAAATCTCACATCTACAGAAAGGATACACATACTCATATATACTCACAAAGGTGAAATAAACTTGTGAATGTTTTCACATAAACTACGCTAATCAATTGAGAGGCAGAGCCAGGGAGATTGTCAATACTTCCACATCAGTCAGTTGTTCATGGTGTATTCCACACTGTCCTATTGAAAAGTCATAGAAATGACAACTGTGGGTAATATAATATAATATAATATAATATATGAATTAATTTTGTACTAATTTTAAGGTGGATATTGTCACAGGAAAGTGGGTGATTGGATCAGGATATATTGTCTTTTCATAATTGTAGAAATCAAAAGGCTAATATCCAAACAACAAGAATTGTGATCTTTTTCAAAACTCAATTTATGGACAGTTTTTTATTTTTTATACACATGAAAGATAAATAAAGCAATAAAATGATGAATTAGAGTCAAAGAAACCATAACTAATGAGTGTAGGAGATAACTGATCTCATGTGCTTAAAAAGCCCATTTTAATTCCAGTCATTCATGAGAAGATATAATAATGATTTCGCAGAAACCTTGGCATTTACCCTATAAAACCACGGCAATAAATAGAAAAGTTGTATGGTCTATGGCTTCCTCCTGTGTAATTTTGTGAAATCTGTGCAGGTATAAGTTTAAGAACTACCAGTTTGTTCTGGCTCTTATGTTTGCAATTGAGGAGATCAACAGCAACCACCATCTTCTACCCAATACAACTATTGGATATGATATATATAATACCCCATATACTGAGAAGAATATTCTTTATAGTGCCTTTCTTTGGCGCACAGGGATAATCAATCCACTTCCTAATTTTGACTGTGGACACAAGAGAAAGTCACCTGCTGTAATCACAGGCCCATCATGGTCAGCATCTGCCCACATTGGAACACTACTACAACTCTACAAAATACCTCAGGTGAGGAATGGGATGTGGGAACTAGGAGACATGTATTATTTATTGATAATATATGTGTCTATAAATGTAAAATAGGGCACTGGAGTTAATCACCTATCAAAGAGAAGTAACAAGATATTGTATATTAGATCCATATTTCACTTGCTTAAAATAGAATGAAATGAGAGGTGAGTAAGACCAGCTATGTTATTGGAACTGAAGATCTATCAGCAATTTTTGTATAAAAAATGTACTGGGTTTACAGGACAAGACCATCTTCATCTTGACTGTTTCCATATGTTGATTTCAATCTGGGATTGTGTCTGATACCAATGTATTTTCTTATCTCTTCAGGTCACTTTTGGACCTTTTGACTCTCTCTTGAATGACCGAGGTCAGTTTAATTCTCTCTACCAGATTGCTCCCAAGGAAACTTCATTGTCACATGCCATAGTCTTTTTGTTGCTGCATTTCAGTTGGTCCTGGGTTGGTTTGATCATCCCAGATGACCACAGAGGGACTCAGATACTGTCAGACTTGAGAGAAAATATGGAGAGCCATGGCATCTGCATAGCCTTTTTGAAAATGATCTCTGGCACATGGAATTCATATTCTAATGCATTATGGAAAAATATGGAGAAGATTGAGGAATCATCAGCAAATGTTATTGTTATTTATGGAGACATCATTTCTGTACAAGGTTTGATGCGACATATTGCACAAGTATTAGTGACATGGAAAGTCTGGGTCTTGAACTCTTCATGGGATGTTGATAGCCACTCTGATTATTTTATGGTTGAGTCATTTCATGGGAGTCTTGTTTTTTCACACCACCATGAAGAGGTGATTGAGTTTATGAATTTTGTTCAAACAGTTAACCCCTACAAATACCCAGAGGACAATTATCTTCCTAAGTTTTGGTTTTTGTTTTTCAAGTGCTCATTTTCAAAGTTTGATTGTCAACTTTTGGAGAACTGCCAACCTAATGCTTCTTTAGATTTACTTCCCAGACACCTTTTTGACCCAGCCATGAGTGAAGAAGGCTACAATATATACAATGCTGTGTATGCTGTGGTCTATAGTCTCCATGAAATGCAACTGCAACAAATACAGACACAACCATATCCCAATGGAGAAGAAATGGTATTATCCCCCTGGCAGGTAATATCCCTTGCTGTGTTTTATTATGTCAGCAATATGGCATTTTTATTATTACTTAAGGGATTCAAATTGAGCATCATATGTTTTAGACTATGCTGTTAATAAGCAAAGGAGTGAATATTGTTTCTCTGTATGGAGGTCAATACTAAATCCTGAGTAAATGTTCTTTATAAAATGGAGTGCCAGGAACAAGAAAAACAGCTGAAGTTAAAATTGAATTCATGTAACTTTCGCCTCACAGTTTTTTTCATAATATCTTGAATGTGAAAAGTTGAGATTTCCTGTATGTATTTCTCAGAGCAGAGGATGGAACTGTACATCTATCGGAGACAAAATGCTCCTGAGAACTTCCACTAGGTTATAAAGTGGAGGACCACTATAAAGTGTACTTTTAGACTTTCAGGCCATCTTTTTAAGGACAGAGCTCTAAATATATTCCAAAAGTGAATAGGCAGGTTTAGCTTATTGAAGGAATATGAATTAGCCCAGTTCCTGTAAATTGGTGTCTTGGTGACTTAACTGTGTTTAGTTCAAAAATGTATCTTATACAGAATGAGACTTTTGAAATTTAAAGCACTTTAATCCAAGTGTATATCATTTACTCAGTATCTTTCATGGCTCCTTTATAGATGCTTTGTATAACATGGGCTTAAAAGAATTGAGGGTCAGGGACAAACAGTGAGGGTTGTTAGTGTTCCTCAGGAGGGGAAAATATTTCAGTGAGAAAGGAGACTCTTACATGGTTGTCAGGGGAATTACAAAGCTCTGTCTAACTAGCAGTCAGGTTGGTGCTTCACTTATACAGGTCCCACAGAAGAAAGGCAGCCTAATGATTGTCCAAGAAACACAGATAATATCACTTTGTCTCCAGACATTTTTGATTTTTCATTACATCTCTTGAGTTAGAAGTTCCATTAATTGTGTAAATGTACCACATTTTCTGTATCCCTTCCACTGTTCAAGGACATCTGGGTTCTTTCCAGCTTTTGTCTATTATAAATAAAAATGCTATGAACATAGTGGAGCATATGTCCTTTTTATATGTTGGAGCATCTTCTGGGTACATGCCCAGGAGTGGTATAGCTGGGAACTCAGGTAATGCTATGTCAAATTTTCTGAGGAACCGCCAGACTGATTTCCAGAGTGGTTGTACCATCTTGCAATCCCACCAACAATGGAGAAGTGTTCATCTTTCTCCACATCCTCACCAGCATGTGCTGCCACCTGAGCTTTTGATCTTGTCCATTCTGACTGGTGTGAAGTGGAATCTCAGGGTTGTTTTCATTTGCATTTCCCTGATGACTAGGGATGCTGAACATTTCTTTAGGTGCTTCTCTGCCATTCGAGTTTCCTGAGTTGAGAAATCTTTGTTTATCTATGCTGCCCATTTTTAATAGGGTTATTTTGTTGTCTAGAGTCTAATTTTTTGAGTTCGTTGTATATATTGGATATTACCAATCTATCGGATGTAGGATTGGTAAAGATCTTTTCCCAATCTGTTGGTTGCTGTTTTGTCTTATTGACAGTGCCCCTTGCCTTATAAAAGTTTTATAATTTTATGAGGTCCAACTTGTCAATTCTTGATCTTAGAGCATAAGCCATTGGTGTTCTTTTCAGGAACTTTCCCCCTGTGCATAGGTATTAGAGGGTCTTCCACAACTTCTCTTCTATTAGTTTCTGTGCATCTGGTTTTATGTGAAGGACATTTATCCACCTGGAGTTGAGATTTGTACAAGGAGATAAGAATGGACTGATTTGTCTTCTTCTACATGCTGACCTCCAGTTGAACCAGCACCATTTGTTGAAAATGCTGCCCTTTTTCTACACAATGAAAAATTATTCAGCTCTTAAAACCAATCAATTCAAGAAATTCTTAGGCAAATGGATGGAACTAGAAAGTATCATCCTGAGTGAGGCATCCCAATCACAAAAGAACAACATGGTATTTACTCACTGATAATTGGATATTATCCCAAAAGCTTGCAATATCCAAGACACAACTCACAGACCACATGAAGCTCATGAACAAGGAAGACCAAAGTGTGGGTGCTTTGGTCCTTCTTAGATGGGGTAACAAAATACACATGGGAGCTAATATGGAGACAAAGCATGGTACAAAAACTGAAGGAGGGTCCATCCAGGACTGCTCCACTTGGGTATCCATCCCTTGTGCTGTCACCAAAGGTAGGCACTGATGTGAATACCAGGAAGTGCATGGTGACAAGAGCCTGATATAGCTGTCTCCTTAGAGGTCTTCCAGAGCCTGAAATACACAGAGGCAGATAACCATTGAGCTGATCATGTGGTTCTCAATGGAGGAGTGACAGAGAAGACTGAAGGAGCTAAAAGAGTATGTGGCCCCATGAGGAAAGCCAACCAACAAGAAATCCCAGGGTCTAAACCACCAGCCTGGGAGCACATAGGGAGAAACAAATGGCCCCAGCTGTATGCATAGAATAGGATCACATTTTCAGGCATAGGTGGGTGTGGAAGTCCTTGGTAAAGGGAAGGCTGGACGCCCCTGTTTGGAGGAAATCATGGGTTGGGAGGTGGGAGTGGTATGTTTGGTGGGGGCATATCTTCATAGAAGCAGGAGGAGGGAGGGTGGGAAAAGGGGTTCCTGAGTGGGAGGGATATGAGGAAAGTGGATTACATCTGAAATGTAAATAAAATATCCAATAAATTTTTTAAAAAACATTCAATCAAAATTAAAAAGAACTAATAGAACTGACTTTATTATCTACCCTAAAATTCCAATTCAAAAATTTAAAATATCTCTCCACCAAAGCAAACATATTTATTATATGACAGCCTGCTTTCAAGCTGGCAGTATTTCCAGTTTTAAAGCACTCCAGACAAATAGAATATGTGTTAAGTGGTTGTTTCATAAATTGCAAATATTAATACATAATGTTTTTATTTATATGACTTATCATGTGTCCTATTAAACAGTAAAATTTTATTTTAGTTATTCTATCTTACTGGAGAAGTTCTCTTCTCCAATAGCCATTCATGTATGATGCTCTACACTTATATGACATTTTCAGAGAGTTCTAAGTTTATTGTAAAATATAATCTAGAGTCAGTTAACTGTTCTCCTAGCCATTTGGAGTTTGTGAAATATTTGTAAGTTTAACCTCTTCAACGTATATTGTTTGAGTTTACTTATGGGAAGATACCCAAGAAGATCTCTGGAGTCATGGCCTCACTTGGAAATTTCTAGCTTTGTGCTTATCTGTGCTTATTATGATCATATTGGACATAAAGAATATTTCCAAATAGGGCCCAAAAAAGATATTTCCTTAAAAAGCAGAAAGAACAGTGGCTTTCCTAAAGACTTAAGCAGCATTTTCTCAGGAAAAGACATAAAATGAATCATAATGCAGAAAGTTT